CACCAGGCAACTTCCAGGATCTGCAGGAGGGACTTTAGCTGCCCATGGTGTCTCTCTGCTGTCCTCTGATGGAAGTGTTTCCGTCTGCTGGACCTTAGGGACGATGAGCTGGATCTTGTTGTCGTCTCTCTTCTAGATTCACCGATACAGCAAACCTTGGTGTTCCCGCTATTCTGTCCTGTTGGTCGGTGGAGTGGAGGGAGAGATGGAAAGTCCCTGGAGAGTGTCGTCATCACCCTGTGCACTGCTGAGTTGCTCTCTGGAGATGGGAAAGATGGAGAAGATGGTGTCGAAGTCTGGCCCAGTTGAAGTGGTAGCGCAGAATTCTCCATTAGTCGTTCTGTTGGTATTCCGTGAAGTGGTTGAGGCAGTGGGATCGTTGACCAGAGGAAAGCCAGGGGCCGATGTGGGAGGCATTGGTCTGGTCGTCGCAACGGGAGTGGAGATTGCAGTTTCTGGATCCCTTGTTTGCTCCAGCTGTTTCATCCATTTCTTGTCTCTCCTCCTAAAACACTCGATGACCTCTCTCTCCAGTGTCGCCACGGCATCCCTTTATAGATTCCTCTATTTTGTTACATTTAAAATCCACAGCCTCTCTAAAATACACTTCATGGTTAAGATTACAGTCATGGCCAAAAGTTTTGGCAGTGACATCAATTTTGTGTTTTGCAAAGTTTGCTGCTTCAGTATTTGTAGATTATTTTTCCACATGTTTATATGGTATACTGAAAAACAATGATAAGCATATCATAAGTTTTAAAGGCATTTATTGGCAAAAAAATATATAACGAGTCAATATTTACAGTGTTGACCCTTGTTCTTCATAACCTCTGCAATTCGCTCTGGCATGCTGGATATTAGCTTCTGGGCCAAATCCTGACTGATGGCGATCCATTCTTGCCTTATTAGTTCTCGGAGTTGATCACAATTTGTGGGCTTCTGCTTGTCCACTCGCCTTTTGAGGACTGACCAAAGGTTCTCTATGGGATTGAGATCCGGGAAGTTGCCTGGCCACGGATCCAAAATGTCAATGTAATGATCTTCGAGCCACTTCTTTATCACTCTTGCTTTGTGACATGGTGCTCCATCACGCTGGAAAATGCACGGATCATCACCAAACTGCTCATGGATCGTTGGAAGAAGTCGCTCTTGCAGGACGTTTTGATACCATTCTTCATTAATGGCAGTGTTTTTGGGCAGAATTATGAGAGAGCCCACTCCCTTGGTTGAAAAGCTACTCCACACATGGATGGTCTCAGGATGCTTCACTGTTGGCACGTCACAGGAATTATGGTAGCGTTCACATTTTCTTCTCCAAACAATCGATTTTCCAGATGTCCCAAACTGTCGGAAGGGAGCTTCATCAGAGAAAATAAATTTGCACCAGTCTTCTGCTATCCAATCCTTGTACTTCCTGCAGAATTTCATTCTGTCCTTGCCGTTTTTCTTGGAGAGAAGTGGCTTCTTTGCTGCCCTTCTTGACACCAGGCCGAAAGTCTTCACCTCACTGTGCTTGCAGATGCTCTCACACCAGCCTGCTGCCATTCCTGAGCAAGCTCTGCACTAGTGGTGACACGATTCTGTAGCTGACTCCTCAGGAGGAGATAGTCTTGGCGCTTGCTGGACACTCTGGGATGTCCTGAAAACTTCTTCACTGCAGTTGAACCTCTCTCCTTGAAGTTCTTGATGATCCGGTAAATAGTTCTTTCAGGTGTAATATTCTTTGCAGCAATTTTCTTGCATGTGAGGCCATTTTGATGCAAAGCGATAATGGCTGCACGTGTTTCTTTGGAGGAAACCATTGCTAACGAGAACACAATGATTGGAAGCGCTTCTTCCCTCCTTTTATAGCAATCAGTCTGCTCTTACAGACTGTAAGACTACATCTAATTAGTATGATAGTGATTTCACCTGACTAGTACTCATTCACACTATCACATGTGCTGTTGATATGATTAGTCAATTAATGTTAGCTGGTAATTTTGTGTCAGGATCAAAAAACAGTGAGATTTTGTTTTAGTTTTTTTTTGTGAAAAGTAAATGTTTTGGTCAATGAAGCTTTTAGCAATTATTTAAAATGAATCTGATCACTCTACACAATAATCTAGAAACAATGTGAATGAACACCACAACAGCTTAAGCAGCAAACTTTGCAAAACACAAAATTTATGTCACTGCCAAATCGTTTGGCCATGATTGTACATTCAAAAGAGTCTTTAAAATCCTTCTCCAGCAAGTGTCTATCAGTGCATTTAAAATCCAAGTGAAAGTCCAGCTTGCATCTAGAAAGGTGAGTCAGAATAAAACTCCACAGTCCGGGATGGGTGATCACCAGCGCATTTGTAAGTAAGAGAGTGTTTGCTTGTCATGCTGCCACCTTTATACTGTCCATTTTCTATTTTCTGTCATGTGATCAGTCACATGACAGGCAGAACCAGACTCATTTAAAGACATACACGAATTAAAACAGGTAAGAGGAATAAAATGGCTAAGGCATCATCTAAATTGATAACTTTAAATTTATAATAAAATTATAAATATATATATATATATATATATATATATATATATAACTATCATAATACATATTGAGTGGATTGAAACGTGTCCTGTGTGACAGTGTCACTATATATATTCAGCATTTTTAAATAAAATGCTTAATCAACTATTTAAAATAGTATTTTTTTATAATTATTTGAATAATTAAATAACTAATAATAGACAGAATCCCAGTAAAACACATTTACATTTATTCTATTATTTACATGCAGTATATGAATATTTACTTGCATCTATTTACTTGCCATATTTTAATTGAATATTTGTCATAATAGCAACACTATGAATGCAAAGTGAATGACCTAGCCTATAAGATCGATCGATCGGCCGGAGAGCGGTATCGGCCGATAATCACATTTTATGACTCGATCGGTACTCACTACACTTGGCCGATCTCACGAACCGATCGCAATTTGATGACGTCAACGCATGTCGACGTACATGATGCATGAGGACAAACTTCAGTGACGTTAGAGCTGATCTGCGCCTCACTGCACACATCTGCGGTGCGTTACGGCTCCACGGGAACCGGAGCTGATGGCGGGCGCTCTAATGCCTGTGTTTATACCGGCCAGCCGCGGCACGTTTCTGAAGCGGCTCTTTGCGCTGCCTGGCTAAAAATAGTATTTTGTGAGTTGTCACAGCGTGGAGGACGGAACAAAACCTCGTCGGAGCCGTAAGGGATAACGGTAACATAACACGCTGATTGTGGGCTGCTTTTAAATTAACATTTATTTATAAAACAAAATATCTTTTTTGGCCATATTAGCCTAAGTTAATATTTGCATCATTTAATCCACCCGCGACCCACCCGCAAATAATCAGAATGCATTTTTTATTACCCGACCCGTGGATTATCCGCAGTGCCCGTGGATATAGGAAAAGCAAAATATGTTTGCTGCGTAAATCAGACGGACTTAATGAAAATGCAAATTCATTAAAGCATGCTTTAAAGCAGGAGAAACAGAGGTTTCCCCAGTAACGGCTGTACACAAAGCAGCGCTGAGCTCACAAACGCTGCTTTATCAGGCATATAACATGCAAGATGAAATGAAAATGACATCGAAAATTTTCTAAAGATAGTCTTCCTTCAGAAATGCAGTGATATAAAAACACCCACGCCTTGTTTTGATTTTTAAACGTGCAGTACGTGCTCATGTTTATTCACTGATAAACAAACACAGACCGGAATTTAACTTCGGGCCAGGCGCGTGCGCCCAATGAAACCGTCTATATAAAGCTTGAAGAATCAGAATCCGCATCGGTATCGGCCGATCACCATGACAAGAAATCGGTACTCGGTATCGGCTGCAAAAATCCTGATAGGAGCATCCCTAGCAATTATTATTAATTTTGCAAAGATAAAATTCTTGATGGCTCGAACATTCATCTTTTGAGATACACTAGCTTAAAGGTAGGGTTCATACACAAGTTATTTAAAAAAAGTATAGTCTATTTTGGGAGAAAAACAGGGCAAATTGAAAACAAATAGGATGTAGAGTTTAGGCTATACAGTATAAATACCAGTAAGAAGGTAAGCTAACTGACAGTTTAGATACATTCCTCCTGTTCTCTACTCTACTAATATGTGATCTAGAATGATAATAAGTAATCTAAGAGAGAAAAAACAAACAAACAGACAAACAAACAAACAAACAGGTAATCTAGTCTTTAAACTCTTTTCTGTCCTTATATGAAAGCAGTACCTCATTGTGTCATGGAAAGCCCCGTTTAATACAAATACATCGTCCTCACTGCCTCCTCTGCTCACTTTTTATTAAGTGCAGTATTCCACGAGGACCAATATTTTAGAGGCAGCTCGAGTAAGGGGCCATAAATAATACAACATTAATCATGAAAGGCCCTGTTTGACTTGTCAAATTTATCACCTATCTTAATGCCACTGTGGTTTAAGAGCAGTTTTCACACTGTTATACCACCTTGAGAGTTTTAACGTCAACCTCACTTGATGCGGTACCACAGCCTTATCACAGATTTATTTCAAATAAACTGCAAATAAAGTGTTTTATACGTCCTAAAACACACTTTTTAACTTGGCCTCAAGTTTTAATAGGGTAGAGAGGAATAAAAGTGGAAAAACATTTCCACATTTCGTTCAGATCTTTATGATTATTCTATGCAGAATTGTGTTACTCTGTTCTCTAAACAGATAACTACAGCTCTGTCAGGACCACTATCGTCAAAGATGAATGTCAATTACCATACAGTACAGTTTGGATTGGTGGTATGGTTCTGTTCTGGGCAAGAACTCCTTGTGCATCCATGCAGCCTAGCATGGATAAGAGCAGGGAGAGCAGTGATAACCTCCCTAGGGTAAACAGAACAGAACCAACATAAATTAATTGCAGATATCATTAATGTTCAATAATTTAATGTACACATTTTAGAAATTAGTCTAATTCAAAGGGGAATCAGAAGGCTGAATCCTGACTGGACGAGAGGTGGAGTTAGGGACGGAGGAGGGTAATTAACTATTGAGCAACACGAAAGCTGCTGATAATACTGAAGGACCTTATATATGGATGCTGTGATAGGTGTCGAATCCCTGTAGGTAGACGTGGATCAGCTGAGAGTCAGATGATGTGAGCTTGACTAATGTGACCTACCAGAACTAACGCTACGCTTGATTTCTGTCAGGACCACTACCCCCCAAAACAAAACCATATGCTGATATCGCTCAACACAAACTGACAGCGAAAATCTCAATGCCTTAAGCAACAAGCATGTTGCCCTTACCCAATGACCCAACGAGTATGTTGCCAAAACCTGCATAAGCCATAGCAACAAGCATGTTGCACTTAACCAGATGATCTATGTGTGAATATGAACGAGTATGTTGCCAATATGCAACAACATGAATCTGAAAAGCTCACGCTACAACATGTTTTCAATAACAACCAGATAGCTTTGAAACAAGCATGTTCCAATAACAACCAGATAGCTTTGAAACAAGCATATTCCAATAACAACCAGATAGCTTTGGAACAAGCAAGCAGATCTTACTTTTATGTAAGTTTTCATTCAGACTTATTCAATTAAATACCCAATCATACAAGTAATATTAAGAATAAAAAATATTTCAGAAAAAATAAAATATTTGCCATATGAAGTTCATATATGTGTGCATTATTCTTCTATTACATTATACTGATTTTCGTACTGGCATTTAATGCCACAGTTTAATGGGTAAATTATTTTATCAGAGAACAATTCAACAAACAAACACACACACACACACACTGTTAGGCTTTTATTTGTGCTCGTAACATGAGTTGATGGAATTTGTGGTCGCTGATTTGTCCGACGGAGTGGCTTTCACAGGCTTTTGGCTGCTATATTTCTTAACCACCAGATGGCACTGTTTTTGACACTCTCGAAGCTTTGAATCTTTTCCCAAAGCAGTCAGAGGAAAGCCTCAGTGCTTCATGCTTCAATTGCCCATCACTACCATATAGCTTTAAGAACAAGCATGTTTCCAATACAGCTAGATAGAACAAGCGTGTCCGATACTTTATCAGAATAAACACTTAACTGACTTCAACTGAACAACGACTGTTTACCATTTCTCTGTAGAGCTGCGCAACAGCAGAAATTAATCAGTTTGCATCATGATGGCTATTTCCTGTCTATCACTGCAAAGCTGCTTAAATCTGCTGTATACTGCTATATGATGTTTCATTAACAAGTTTCGGGAGGAGCACAATCAGATAATCAATCAATTCGGAACATGTGGAGCTTGTTAGTTAATCACCTTAACTAGCACAATGCGTATATATATACAGCCAACTTACCTCTGTCCCACGACAGTTTCCAGCATGATCGCGGCTGCCGCTCTGCTTGACCAGCCGCACGGTTTCCACGACACAGAGGCCGACCCTCGCCTACACCAGAGACACTTCCAATTTCTTCCCCGGCATTCTTCTATCATTCGGCCGAGTAAAAAAATCCTCTGTTTGGAAAATTAAGCCGGAGGCAAGTGCGGATTAATTCCGATGCACCGTTCTCACGGAGGGTGAACAAGCGGATCTGTACGATCTATTCGTCACCCTGCAAATCAGCCAACCTCACTCCCAAATCCACTCCAGCCCCAAGGCGGCCAATTGATCGCGCAAAGCTCGCAAGGCCTTGAACTCGCCGCGTTTGACTCTATCATTCGGCCGAGTAAAAAAATCCTCTGTTTGGAAAATTAAGCCGGAGGCAAGCGCGGATTAATTCCGATGCACCGTTCTCACGGAGGGTGAACAAGCGGATCTGTACGATCTATTCGCCACCAGTGTTGCCAAATAATTATCAGGTAAAATCGCCAAAGGCAGGTCATTTGTTGCTCAAGTCGTTAAATAATGTCACAACATTAATGCATGTTAATATCATTATGCAACCGCGACACAAAGTACGTAGAATACTCACTGAAATTGCATAAAAAAACAGAAAAATTACCTGTATTTAAATTACACATTGCATTTTGATGGATGGATGAGATTTATTTTTGTTTTGTAGATAAGAACAATAGTGGAAGGAAGTTGCACTGTTGATCACAGTGGATAACAGTAAATGATTAACAATCATAGGTACAAAACCAGCTGATGTGCCGCTCGACTGGCTAGCTATTTCAATAAATTTTTTATTTTTGTGTGGTTAAGAGGAAATGTACGCCTTTATAATTGTATTACTTTGTAAAAGCTGCAAAAAATAAATGTTTTAAATAGCTACATTTGTTGCTAGGCGCTTCGGAAAAACAAGTTGCTAGGGTAGTCTGAGAAAATGCTAAATCTAGCAACAAATTGCTAAGTTGCCAACACTGCAAGCTACCCAGGCATTTCAGCATGTCCCGCCAAATGTTACAAACCACTCCTCTTTCCTGCGGCCTACAGCGGCTGAAGAAAGCACGAAGCTGCTTCAGCTTGCAACACAGGCCCATGCATCTCAGTCTTTTCTAATAACACTTTTTCCTTTTCAGCGACCTCCAGGTCCTGTAGCAAACTCTCGCGCGAGGCTGCCTCCGCTAGTGGTGCAATCATAAACCACTCCCCTTTCCCTCAGCCTACAGCGGCTGAAGAAAGCAAAGCTGCTTCCACTTGCAACAGCCCCACGCATCTCAGTCTTTTCCTCCTGTTACTTTTAACCCCTTTTCCTTTTCAGTGGCCTCCAGCTCCCATAGGAGACCGTTAAGTGTGAGGCTGCCTCCGCTGACAATCACGGCCCCTGCTCCTCTCCCTCACAGCTATCTACTTCATTTAAAATCGCAATATTCTCTTTTAACAGCAAAATTACTGCCCGTCCCACTATATGCTGTCGCCTCGGAGCTACCTCCAGTGGCTCACAACATCTGAGCACGGATTCTGGCAGGTCCAGACATAGACCTCTCATCTAGGGCCGTCACTAACGATTAATTTAGTAACCGAGTTATTGGTCGATAATTCTGTTGAATAATCGGATAATTATAATTTATTTTTTATAGTAAAAAAATAAATAAAAAAATAGGCCTAATCAACAATGGCCTTTAAAATGACCTAAAACCATATATAATGGTAATGAGGCCATTATAATTGGTTCAAAAAGTATTAAAAGCAAGTAACAATATGGTTTTGTTGAACAAAACTTAACATAATGTATTATAAACAATATAATGTATGATAAGCATCATATTAGAAGCCTACAGAAGGCGCCAATGGTCTGGCGATTGTTTTACATGTCACTGCATGATCCGATCCTTGTTTAAACAACACTTAATTAAAATGTCCACTTAATATTTGCCAATTTCTTTACTACAGAATTCAAGAATTTCACTTTCTCTTTTCAGATGTCGCAGTAGTACTCACTCCCGCAGGAGCCCGTATCTTTACTTTCCACTGCCACAGCCGGCTTCCGCAGGAGCCACTTTCTCTTTTCAGATGCCATAGCAGTACCCGCTTCCACGGGAATTTTCTTTTCAGATGCTGCAGCAGTACCCGCTTCCACAGAAGCCTCCTTCTCTTTTCAGATACCGCAGCATGTCCTCACTCCCGCAGGAGCCTGTATCTTTACTTCCCACTGCTGCAGCAGTGCTCGCTTCGACAGGAGCCACTTTCTCTTTTCAGATGCCATAGCAGTACCCGCTTCCACGGGAATTTTCTTTTCAGATGCTGCAGCAGTGCTCGCTTCTGCAGAAGCCTTTTTCTCTTTTCAGATACCGCAGCCGTACCCGCTCCCGCAGGAGCCTATACCTTTACTCCCCACTGCCGCAGCAGTGCTCGCTTCCGCAGTACCCTATATCTTTACTTTCCACTGCCGCAGCAGTGCTCTCTTCCGCAGAAGCCACTTTCTCTTTTCAGATGCTGCAGCAGTACCAGCTTCCACAGAAGCATCCTTCTCTTTTCAGATACCGCAGCAGTGCTCGTTTCCGCAGAAGCCTATATCTTTACTTCCCACTGCCTCAGCAGTGCTCGCTTCCGCAGAAGCCTCCTTCTCTTAAGAAAAAAAATAAATAAAATAAAATGATTTGGTACTGCAGCTACAGTGACAATTTGATGCTGCCGCTGCAGTGCCCCCTTCATTTGATACTGCCGCCGCAGTGCCCGTTCAATTTGATACTGCCACCGCAGTGTCCGCTCAATTTGATACTACCGCCGCAGTGCCTCCATTCGTCGTTTCGTGCCTCATGGCTTATTCATCCGACGCATCAAACCATGCCTCGTATCCAGCTACAAGAGGGACTCTCCCTTCCGGTGCAGCAGAGCCGCAGCTCCCTTTGGACGCAGCGAGAGTCCCTCACTTGGTCTCCCATCGTGCTCCTCATTTGGCGGCAGGTAGGGCTTGCTGTCTGACGCGGCGAGCCGCACTCCCGTTGAGCACCGCACGAGCCCTTTCAGTCGCCCTACCTCCTTCTCGCAAACTCTTACCCTTCTATCTTCATGGCATGCATATTTTGGAGGGGCTACTAACAACATTTTATTCTCCAGCTGCTGTCTCATGGCTATTAGTTTCTTTTGGGGAGTTCTCGGGGTTCGGGCTCTCTCCCGAGCTCGGAGCCCTCCCTCTGGACAGCACGCCAACTATGCTTACTAATTGTTCAATCCTATTATATGTTAGTGCGAACTCGTAAAATAAATACAAGCGACTTGACTTGATAGGCTAGCACAGCATGTTACAGCAACAAGCATGTTGCCAATGACAACAGATAATAACGCACATTGCCAATATGTTTGCATAAGCCTAGCACAAACATTTTACTGAACACTAAAAAATAAGCCTAAGCAACTTGGATAGCCTTAGCAACAAGCATGTTGCCAATAAACAGAGCATTTGAAAGGAACTTGGCTTAGCTTAGCTTTGTGAAGACATTCAGAGATTAATGGCGAGTGAAACATAGCCAGCTGGGACGTGGATGCTTGATCTCTTGATATTAGGGTTGGGTACCGAACTCTGTACTTTTAAGGGTACCGACCGAATTACATCAGTACTACAGAGTACCAATTCACATTAAATCAATCGGTGCCAAATCGCGGTACCTGAGAACTTATCTGGGCACTGCGCGAGAGTATGTTAGAGAAAGAATGAGAGAGCGTCACCATGTGTTCATACACAAGACTTGTTCATACACCACAATGGCTAACCAAAAATGTTAAGAAGTGTGGTTGCATTTTACAAAATT